GTTCAATATTTCTTGCCAGTGGCTGTGCAATGACATCAGCCAGTGCCTTCAGTACCCTCGCATGGAGCTCATCCGAGCCTGCTGACTTAAACGCAACCAATTCTTCCAAGTGACTCTGCAATATCTCAGGGTCAACGCTTGGTAGTCTGGTGCCTTGCTGTTGTCTCTCTACAATCCCATTGTGAGACTTGTCTTGCCTCTCGTTTAGGAACACTGAGGCAAAAAACTCATTGAGGAGCTCAGCCTTGTCCCCCCTGCCTGTCACCAATTGCTTTTGCTCATTCAGTAGTGGTCCTATACTGCCCTGGGCCTTCCTTTTACTCCCTATATATCTGAAAAACAATTTTTTGTTATCCTTATACTTGGGATGCCATCCTCAGCTACATGGTAGCTTTGGCCTTTCTAACTGCCTCCCTACAACTGCAAGCTGAGTAGGTATACTCCTCTTTAGTAATCTCTCCCTGTTTCCACTGCTTATATGCCCCCCTTTTTGCCCTTAGGCTGCTCTGGATTTCTCTAAGGGCAAAAAGGGGGGCATACTATGTCTCGGAGACTGCGAAAGATGACTATGATCAATCAAAAGTATGTGAATACCCATACTTACAATTTAAAGGGCTCCACACCTCCATTCAAAATTTCCAAAGGGGTCCGCACCTTTATTTGAAAATTTTTAGGGGTCCACAAATGAGAAAAAAGTTGAGAACCACTGGAACAGAAGCATGGAAATGCTATAATGGATGCCATGTTTCTCTCCTGGTGGCCCAGGCAGGAAAGGGTGGAGTTCACTGTTCAGGGTCAGAGCTGTGGTGTTAAGCTGCTACCAAATCAGCAGCAGCTGTAAGAGGGTTAAAACTTTAACTTCTGCTGATGCTGCACTTGGTACTGACTCTACAGCAGGGGTGGGCAAAATACGACCCAGGGGCCGGATCTGGCCCACTAGGCCATTCTATACGGTCCAAGGGGACCCTAAAAAAATTAGAAAATTCATATTTATTTGCTCCTATCTGCCTGTCAAAGATGACAGGAGCCAGGAGCAGTAGGACCCAAAGGAAGCTAGTAGCAGGACCCAGCAGCAAGGCCTGCCCAGCCCTGGCCCCCCAAGCAGGAACCCCTGCCTAGCAGAGGCTTCTGGCCTGGGACCATGGGGCTGTTCCTGTTTCCCTGCATCAGAAAGGGAAACGCGGCCCTCAACAGCTCGCTAAAACTCAGTAAGTGGCCCATCGCCTGAAATAATTGCCCACCCCTGCTCTACAGTCAGGTCTCTAGAAAAATCTTTTTTTTTCTTCATTCTGCCTTCCCAAAACAAGATGTGTTGCTTATTTGGGGCACGTGGTATGTGAGAAAATACAGTGGTTACTCGGATAACCTGGGAACCAGTAAACTTGACTCTGCTGCTCAAATCACAGACTAAAAACCTTGAAAGTAATAGACACTGGCATCTTATCAATTTAGCCAAAGCTTACCAGCTCTATGACTTCCCTGAACTTGGCTTAGTCATTTTACTGCATAGACCTCTTCATTCTGAGCTAACAGCTTTCTCTTATTTCCACACCTTTCACTTGCACTTAGAGAGCGCCTGACTCTCTTCTGGATGGGCAAGAAGACTTTAGAACTAGAGAAGGTTAATCTTCCCATCAAAACTGCAAACACGGATGCTGCTATTCTTTCAAAATGTGTCTGAAATCAAACCCAAACCGAGAGTTAGATTCACTAGAACTTATGGCAAAACCAGATTTCATCCCAGGTCATGTGTAATGAAATATATTTCAGACTGTGTGATGAGGTCAATCTGCAAAACTCATTTATAATTAATAGAAAGGTAGTTCATTATGCTATTTTATTTAGTTCAAAGGACTAGAAATATTGAATCAGATTTTCAAAGACTGTCTTTACTTGCTGACAACACAAAACTTGGAAGCACATTGGCTATATAGGAAAATTAGTGCTGGTATTTACAAAGGCACTCTTTACATACATAAAATGGTAAATTTTGAGCCCAGGCCCAGGGAATAGCTAATCTGCTCTACTGCAATTTAATTTCACTGAAAAGAGTAGTAAATAAACCACAAAACCTACCTTGTCCCTGGTCAAGATCACCCCCTGGTGCTGTCCATGATAAAATGACCTTATCATCTTCTGTTTTGGCACTAAGATCAGTAATTTTACATGGTGGAAACACATCAGTATCAGGGCTCGTTGGTACTTCAGACACTGTAAAGTAACCTCCTGAGATGGTTCTACTGAAGCCTCCTACTTTGATTTGAATATCATCATTACTTGTAACTGAGGGTCTTGGTCCATTCATCTGGATCGTACCTAAAACCCATGCACAAACATACAAAAACAAACAAAAAAACCTGGATTTGGGTTGAATTTTATGTATTACAGAATTCTGCAGATAACCCCCCCCCCCCAGTTCTGATCTTACTTATATTGCAATAAATCTAGAATTAAGCTCTTAAATTGAATCTTATGGAGTTAAGAGACCAGAATTACTCACAGCATGGTGTCTATTTCTCTACATCTCTGAGAATGATGAATTAATATGAATGAAAATAATATCTAGGGGAATGAAGTGGGACTTAAAACTCCTGAAAGGAGTTTTACCTTTGCTAAACCTTCTTTAAGATGAAGATTAATTATAATTACAGTGTGATTATTGCTAGACATAAGAGGCAGAACTTCCAAAACCTGATCTTTTCACAGACATAACTTAAATCCTCTGGGAATTAATTATCTTCATTCCCACTTAGATTATATAATTGTTTAAACAACTATTTAAGCAATATTGTTTGATTAAATAGTTGTTTAAAACCTACTTTTAAAAATGTTTTAGTTAGCATAGTATTGTTACTTGTTAAACGGAGCATAACTTAGATGAAAACAGTGCCTGAGAAACGCTCAAAACTAAGGGCCTTGGCACAAGTTACCTTAAACACCACAAAGACATTTAAAATGTGAGTAGTCAATTAATTAAGGGGTATTAAATGGCCATAAGTACCCTCTAAATGTTTTACAGATAATCCACTCAAAAAGAGGTTGATCTTGGAAACGTTTTACCCATGCCATTCCATGGTATTGTCTGAATGGGCATGGGAGGTAAAATGCTTTATTTTCATTCCTCCCAGGGTGCACAGCTCCCAGCCGCTCTACCCCTTCCTACCCTCCAAAACTCTCATGGTCCCCCCTCCTTCTCCCACTGAGAGTAACTGCTCTGAGCTTAGTTGCAGAGAGACCATGGAGCCAGGGAGGCCTGTTTCCTCCAGCTGCATAATCTGGTTTTAGGAAACTCAATTTTAGCTTGAGCCCAAAGCCTTGAGGAGGTTGCTTCTCAGGGGCTCTGTGCTTTGGCTGAGTCCCTGCTGCTCTACTCTGAGCAGGGAACAGAGTCCCAAAGAAGCAGGCTCCCTGCGGCTCTGTGCTCAGGCTGAAACTGATGCAGCTGCTCCAAGAGCAGCTTAACCCCTGGGGGAACCTAGAGCTGGGGAAAGCATCTTTTCCAACTCCATGGTCTCACCATCTGGGCCAAGGCAGCTCCTCACTCCCAACCATCCCAGCTGCTCCTAAGCCCACTCTCCCCTCTAACCCAGTTCTAATTCGCTGAAACACATTTAAAATTTTAGTCCTTTAATTAGTTTAAAATTTTTTTCTCGCTTCTTTCTCTTTATTTCTGCCCTTCCCCTTCCCCCCAAACAGTTTTTTTACATTTTCTCTTCTCCCACCCTCTGCTCTGGCTGGGCTCCTGCTGGATGTGGAGGGATGACCCTATGCTGGTTTCTCTGTCTCCCACAACCTCCCCCTTCCTCTCTCAGCACAGGGGAGGAGCAGAGTCTGGCCCATGATCTTATGACATCAGAACATTCCACAGATATCTGATGTTATACAGGTAACCTGTGCCAAAGCCCTAAGGTCTCAGATATACGCCTGCATAGATCCCTTAACCAAACTACCATTGCTCTAATGCCCTCTACTTGAATTTGTGAGTGAACTTGATGTAACTGTTTCTTCACATGTAAACACTGGAATTTTATATGGCTCACCCCACATTGCTCTGTCGTACCATTTTCTACGTAACCTGGTATATACAAAGCATGACTCCATGGCGTTGCAGCATGCAGTTTGATGATCTCGCTAGCTTGAA